TTTTGTTAATTTTTTTCCAAGAATAATTCCTACATAAACTCCAATAAATATTTATTTTACGAGAAACGTGAATTTTAACTGAATAATTCCCCATTATAAACATTGATAACCCTTAGAAGATTTAGTAAAATTGGAATTTTTCACTCTGGAGAGGAAAAACAATCATTCCATTCAACTTAATTTTGAACTTCTGGTGTTTTGTGTGCAATTGTAGGAAGCGTGATATGTATTAACAACTGGCAGCAGGCCAACATTGTAAAAACGTAACTAAAGTTGCCATTAACAAGGGCATTCTATTCTGTGAGCTGAATAAATCTGTTTACGTCATTAGTATCCGTTAGTTTTAATAAGATGAGGAAATTAATTTGTTAATTAACTCAATAGGGATCATTTCCCATATGAGATTATTTTCTTATCTAAATTAAAATCGATCCGAACCAAAGCACAAAAATGTATTTCACACGAGAGACCATATTAATTGTAAGTAGCATCACACGCAAAAATAATTATACTGTATATAATATAATATTCATAAAATTGTCTTATTAATTACTAAATGCCTTTATGGTGAGGTTAATGATATTTAAAATATCCAAATTAAAGCGTACCGAGTATAAATCAATGCGAATTTTATCAGAATTATTAAAAATAGACAAGGAAATTTTTCAGATTTTTATCAATCGAAAGATTTCTATTTATATTCAGAAGCTAGAAAAACTATAACACGTGAAAATGTCGTGATAGCAACGTGTTGAGGATCTCTCTATTGATCACGGTCGAGGTCAGCGGGGTCAGAGTTCATAGATATGATGTAGCCTATCTTGGATGCGGGATCCTTGAAGACGTACATCTGATAATTCGATAAGAACTTTATACTCAACATGTGACGCAACAGTCGTCATGGAGATTTATGACCTCTAACATCTTAATTGCATGAATTACGCATTTAAAAATGATAACAATGATTTCAAATGTCTTAAAAACTATACAAGACTGTTTGCCGATCGGAACGATTAGATAATTTAGACTATTTTTTTAAAAGTTTATGTGAAATTATCAAAAGTTCAATATTTTCCACATTTAGACTGCTTTCTACATTAAAAAATCTTACAATTTTCGTATTTTTAACACGATTGGCGAATTTAAAATTTAGTGATCCAATTACAGCTCGCGTGTCGTTAATTACGAATTTAAATCGATCAATTAACGGCCGCTGTTTGATAATTTTAAATTCAAACCGATCGATTTCGGTTTGAATTTAAAATTCGTTAATTTAAATTTCAAATTAACCAATTAGTGTATATATATAAATTAAAGCGTACTTTAAAAACTTTTTTAGTAATGATTTTCAAATTATTATTAAAAATGATAATTTTATTATAGTTTAAATAAATAATATAAAGTGAAATACATGTACTGTACGTATGATATTTTCCAGATATATACTATCAACAAAAATCTGTTATATCATCATTGAGAACCCCGTTACGTCATTAGTTTATGCGTGAAAGAATTTCTACCTGATGATATAGCACAAAACGTCGTACACATCATAGAATAAAATTTATTTATTAGTGTTTAATGTCACTTAAATTTATTTAAACACAATAAACTGCGTCAACGAATTTTCAAGACCATTAATTCTCATCTTCCATAAGAAATAAGCCACAAAAAAAAAAAATTAAACTAAACTACCATTTCCAATACCCAACCATAGAAAATAGATATGCCATAATCATTAATAGTTTACTAATTAATAAATTATAACGTATAAAAACATTTATGCTGTAAATATCCACGGATTTGTGAGGCATAAATCTATGGATTTACATGTACAGTATAAACATGTATACCCTTGACTCGAACATTTACCAGAAACTGATTGCTTCATTTCAAATTTGAATGATTCAATAGCAACTCTACTTCGTTTTTAACTAAATAATAAATGGTTAATTAAGCTTTTTATTGAAACTTTGATAAACAAAATCCCTATTTAATATTAAATTAAGAATTTTATTGCGAATCACAAGTGTAAGATAAACAACATGTAAAAATGCATTTCAAGAATTTAATTATTTAATTAAGATTAATCTTATGACAATATTTTATGAGCACTTTCGTCATAATCTTAACGGACAATAGGGACGTCTAAAAAAATATTTATGTAGTAGCACAATGTCATGATGTAAATGTCAAAGTACAATACACTGCTCGAAGACGTGCGCGTCACACCGTTAAACAGGGAAACAAATGTTTCTTTCGTCACACTAAACGGCATTTATTTAATTTATTATATAAGAAAACTTTTTTTTTACATTTCATACTTTCTAAAGATTTAAAATTTTATACTTAATACGTGCATAAACGTTTTAAAAGTTTATCCATTTATGATAATGTGTGAGACAGATCACATCCGTTCTAAGAACAGCGTGTCAGGACTTACAACGGAAAGTTGCCAATAATGACATCTTTGAAAGAGGTCATACTAGGAAAAAGGATGCGATAGTGGTTTGAGGCTTTAAAAAACTGTCTCGTTTGTAAATAAATAAACTTAAATTCCAAACTTTCAGCTGTTTCAAATGATAAAATCAATATTGGCTATTGTTCAGACACTAGAATTTTTTTTTATTGTGACACTAGTTCAAGCGAGAGATTCGTAATGACATCAATGAAATTTGACCCTTAACAAGCTCTAGATTTAATCTATAATAAAGAGTAAATTGCAAAATCGGTACGAATTTTGCCATTGGGGGATCTGAAAGAAGGGCAGATGAATCAGAAGAAACTTTTTTTTTTATATTATTTTTCCAAGTAAAATAATATAAGATGGTGAAGGACTACATCACTGTAAGAGGTCTCATTGACCTTTTAAAGCCTGGAGAAAGTATTTGATCTCGTTTAATTTTGATGAATTTTCCTCTAAATCTAATTGAAAACATGGGCACGCAACGTACTAATTTCAGTTTCAGTAGCTATAATTGCTTTCCTGAATTAATTCAGATCGATATTAAATACACAAGAAACATCTCATCTTCAGTTAAGACAAGTGTTCTAAATGTGTAAAGGTTAACAAAGAGAAATCCTTTAGAAAAATATGAATAATTGGGTCATGTTGATTGGCAATATGAACACGTAAAGGAATTTGCATAAGGTACAAAAGGAGCGCAAATAACATTGTTTTATCTGCTTTAACCCCATTGTATTCTGGCAAAACATCTTTCTTACATACTAAACACTAGCCAAAGTAATTATTTGTATAGATTTTTAAATTCTATAGTGCATATACAACGTGCAATATAAATCTATTCGCATCTTAGATAAGTTACTTTGCGTTTTTTACTGGACAAACAAGTACAACTACCTCAGAAAACTTAACTTGGAATTCGTAAATGGGTCATAAAGCTTTTACACCTTTACGACCTTAACTCGAAACACGTGTTCTTAAACTCTCGTATTGAATTATCCAAATAAAACTCAATGAACTAAATCTATACAGTGGTTTATTTTATTTTTTAATTTAAACTTTCTATAGTAGAGAGGGAGAAATGTTATTTTTCTACCAATTGTGCAATAATGCAATTGAAGTCTTCACTCGTATTTTGCACTCTAGACGCGTATTATATTCTTTATTAAAAAATATATAACTGTTGAGTATTGATAATAGCATCCGCTTTGACCTTTATTTCTATATTTAACTCCAGTTGATAAATAACTAGTCTACAATTATGAAATCGCCTTAATTTTTATTTAAATCACGAGACAAATTAGCCTTTAAAATATAATTAAATGATATTCAATGAATATTTTTAAATATAAAATATTTTATTTTTTAAAAATTTCAATTTAAAAATTCGATTTTCATCTTTTTTAATTATATAAATATAAAAAAAAACAATTAATTAAAATTAATTATTTTTCTTCTAAATTAATTACATAAAAATTTCAATTAAAAATAAAATTTTAGAATGTTAATTACCGTTTGATTGGCTAATAAAGTGATCAATTACAGTTGCATTATTGTAACGGAACGTTTGAATGGACAGTTTAAAAACAGTTTTAACGGTTATTTTTATTTTTATTATTCTATTAAGAAATAATTAAGTAGGGCGGAAGAAACTGAAGTCTGTAACTATTGAGATTGTTTTCTTTCCCTAAATATCTTCTAAAAAAATTTTTTTAACTTATTATTTACATTTTAAACTAGTTTATTCAACTAGTTTAAAACAAATATTACGTTTTAAAAAAAGTGAGGTTAATTGGTTTGTTGTTATTTATTTATTTTTTTCGAAGATTTTACAGAATGAAATAAGAGGATTACTTGCATATATTAATAAATAACCATGAACTCGTAATTATACTTATTAAGAAAATAATAGCGACCTAAAAAAAAACTTGATTTTCTAAACATAGCGTGAATTTACAATATATCACGAATTGTGAGTAAGAAATTAATTAAATCTTCCATTAAATCAAATAAAGAAGCTCAAAATCCCCAATATATTGAAAATGAAGTGTCAATTGATAACATTTTCTATGAATAAATCTCATCAAAATCCGTAGCAATCATAAATAAAAAATCCAAATCAGTACCTATGCCATGCAATAATAAGAAACAAATGAAATTCGAAAAAACGTTTACGAAATCGTCACGTTACTTCCTTCAACGTAACCAAGCATAAACACTGAAAAAGTATTACAACATTCATAACTTTTCGAGAAAAATATTAAACGATAATGTTAAAAAACTGTTCGTCTTCATAAATTTTTAAAACACATTGTTAGAAAAAAATTTCAAGTTGCCAAATTCCCTTGATGGGGGTTTTTCTTTTTTTTCTCTCCTCGTTCCTTCCTTCTTCAGCTCCTTTCAATCAACATGTACTGCATGCGTATCCAAAAGAGGAAAATGAACGTCATAAGGTCACACTTATCGCCTGTCACGTTATCCAATAAGCAATAACTTGATGTCACACGCCCGCTTTCGCAGACAGGAGGAGGAGTTACGCGCCACTACTTACTTTTAAAAAGCAACCTGTTTGCTTCTTCAAAAGTAGATATAAAAGTAGCACTGGTCATACCCTCCTTCTTTAATTATTTAAGTTATTAATTAATTGTTTTCATTTTATTTACGACAAAATGGTTATTGAAACTAGAAGAAAAGTAAGTATTTATAGAGTTACAGTATTATTATTATTAGTATATTATTATTTTTCTTTAAATTAAGTTAAAAATCTTTAGAATAATTGCAACTTGACTAGCAACTCTTTGGAGCAAACAGGCTCCAAACTGTCGGGCTTATTTTTTCTTGGCCTTGGATTGTTTCCAGTAACCGGAAGTGTTTAAACAGACTATTTAAAATTTTTTTCATTTAATTTAATAAATTTAAATTGTTTTTCTTTAAATATTTAAGCTTCTGTCCATAGATAAATTTTAAATAGGAAATATTGGTTAGAAATTTATCATATCCTCATTTGTTAGGGAGGAAGTTTTGCGGCTACGATATGTAATTTTGAAATTAAGCTTGTGATTAAGTTAGGAACCTCAAGTTTTGGCCCTTAAATAAATTTTAATCCCATATAAGTTCTTTTCGAAGGAATTTATAAGGGTTATTATAAATTGCGATGTAAAATAAATTGCAAATTAATAATGCTGGATAGCCTGAATGAGGCTTGTGAAGAAGTATCTTGGCATCGTTTCATCAAAGAATCAAGACTTTGACCGAGATCCAGCTTTTGAATGTGTTCATATTAATCGGATTTTAAGTTTAAACGGGCCGAAATTATATAATTAAAATTAACCTAAACACCGATAATCGTAATTACTAATCACTAACATGAAATTTGGGTATTTTGGAATATCATGCGTTTGATCTTCACAGAAGTTTGATATTGATTTAATTTTTTATACTGTACAAACTGACGAAATTTTACTTGGTTAAGCAATTTAATTTGGTTTAAATTTTTCTTTTTTTTTTTTCCTTTCAAATTATTCTTATGAATTAAATTATTGAAAATAAATTTAGATAAACTCAAAAAAGAGGGGTTTGAACCGGAATCCAATTTTGCAAAACGCTTAAAACTAATCGAATTTTAAGTAGAGTCGACCCCCCTATAACACTGTTGACTTTCTGTTTTATATGAATTCCATGTTGTACGAGTCACTTAGATTTTACAAATACGTGAGCCGTTCACAGCCTAAGTGACTCGTACAACATGGAATTCATATAAAACGGAATTATCAACAGTGTTATAGGGGGGTCGATTGTATAAATGGATCAAATGTAAGCAATTTAACATGGTTGAAACTAGTTAAAACCTCTACATCAAGATCAAAACGGTGCTTAGATAAATCACTTTTTGGATTCATAAAAAACAGTCTTCATACTTATCAGTGTAGAGATTGGGTGTGGTGCACAGAATTTTTTTTTTTTCATTTTGGCAGCATTGCCAAATAATACAAGAAAACAGTTCGATTTCTAAATTTGGAAAATTCAGAGCATGACAAGAATTAAAATGTCATCTTGACCAATATATTTTATTCTAGATACTCGAAATTTTAGATTTTCAAGCGTTTCGACATCGCTCCATCGGAGAGGAGTGTACAGTACTTCATAAATTTCTCGTTTTGTTCCAATTAAAATTCGAGTTCAAAGGTTATGTAATGCATAAACTATGAGAGAGAATAGGGAATATTTCAGTAACCTAGCAAAACCGTTATCTGGAATTTATCATCATAATAAAAAAAAAAAGGTTATCATAAATCAGGGTCAGAGTTACGTTTGGTCAAGAAAGATAAGAAAGAAAGGAAAAAAAATTTATCAGATTTCTCAAGAAGTTAAAAATAAGTAAATGTAATATGTTACATAAATGGTGCAATTTTTAGTATTTTGAAAAATCAGAGACAGGAGTTTTTTAGAGTTCAAGTTCAAAATATGCTTTCAGAATGTCGGAAGTTCTCATAGACGGTTCGTAATACATCTTTATGTCAAGGACATGTAATGCGTGATGAACTGACCTTGTAGTGACGACGACAGATAAATTTTGCATCGTCTGTGGAATGTGTATTACAGCAATTAATGTATGCATTCGTACATATATACGCAGCATGAATCTAGATATATTTTAATTTCTATAGTTTTGTTAAGCTTTATATAACCTAGCTGCTGAATGAAATGAAGTGCTTACTTTTGCACATATTCTACAACAGTCAAACAATTTATACAAGTACATAAAACTATATAACTACCTCTGAACATGTTTTAAAAATCTTTTTCACCTTTGATATTTAAAAAACACTGAATGTCATATTGTATTTTGGCCAACAAACTCACCTTGTAAATGATCCCAATAACTGTTTTTAGCATCAGTAATCAGTGAGATGCATTTTTATTCTATTAAAAGTAAAGGTTATTTAAATATTACAGTTGAACACTCTTGAATAGTAGTAACTTCCAACAATGAAAAGAAAGTCTTTAATTAATTATACTTGGATAAGTAAAGCTGACATGAGCAATACAGTATATAAAGTTTATATAATTGCTTCACACATTTATTCTTGACTTCATTTATAATCAACTTTGCACGTGTATGATTGTGTGTAAGGAAAATGATATTTAGTTCTAACTATTCAATTTTTATTGCCCTTTAAACACTTCCCTAACTTAAAAATATGTGAACTTCACATAAATATACACATTGGAAGTCTATAACTAATAATCAAATTAAAATAATTGACATATTTTGAACTTAATAATTTACTGTCTAGACTTAACTAGCTAAGAGGTCCTTACATTTACTATAAGAAGCAAAGAAAACAAATTTACTTGAATGCATCTTAGGAGCATTAAGGAGTCCAGACAAGGCACTTCAATTTGAATTGATTCATAAAAAATGTATAACCTTTCAACTTGAAAAGTCACCAATTGAGATTGAGCTATTGTTATATCATTCTTCAACACATTTGTCTTCTAAAACAGAAAAAAAGAACAGTTTTAAAACTACATTTCCATATAAAGTAATGAAATTTTATATAAGTATTCTTAACCACAAAACAGAAACAAAAAACTTCAAGTATATTTATTATTTGCTATTTACTTCAAAATAAAAAGCAAAGTCATCCAGTGGAAAATAATATTACAGATGATTGATTATGGTTTAAAAAATAACTTTTTTTTTTGTTTATGTATTAACTGCATTGATTTTCAGATCATTTTCTGGTGAACAGAACTAAAACAGTGGACTTGTTGTTGATAATGGTCATTGTCTCACCTTGAACAGAAACTAGTTGTGTCCTTCATCGTAGCAAACCCCATTGGGTTTCCTAACAAACTGGGTCATTAAAATAAATTTGGGTCACCATCCATGACTTTATTAGTACTAAATGCTATTTGAATCACTCTCTCATAAAAATAAAAGAGTGTGAAATAGTCTTTATAGCTTCATACAGGTAAAGTTGCATACATATACTTTATCTATAATGTTTTTATTCCAGATCGAAGCTCTTACTAGAGCACTCGTATTAACAAATGAGCAACTGGAGAAAGTCTCTGCTCTTCTTCTTCATCAGTTTTATAAAGGCCTTTCACATACCACACACAAGGAAGCATCCGTTAAGATGTTTCCGACTTACGTGACGGATGTGCCTGATGGAACCGGTAAATTTACTGTTTTTTACATTAATTAAATGAAAATTGGAAAGATAGATTACTTACTGTTTTCAATTTATTTATAGAACAAGGAAAATTTTTAGCATTAGACTTGGGTGGTACAAATTTCAGAGTCTTACTCATTGATCTTAATGGAGATGACTTCCACATGGAAAATCAGACATACGCTATTCCACAAGAAATGATGTTAGGAGCTGGCACACAGGTAAAACTAGTTAAAAATCAGTTTTAAATGCATCATTTTTAATTCCAAAACAAGTTTAATCTGATGAATTATTCTCTTGTTTACAGTTGTTTGACCACATAGCTGAGTGCCTGGCCAACTTCATGGAAAAGCAAAATGTCAAAAAACAAAAACTGCCACTTGGGTTTACTTTCAGTTTTCCCTGTCAACAGGAAGGTCTGACCAGTGCTAGATTAGTAAAATGGACAAAAGGATTCAAATGCAGTGGAGTAGAAGGTGAAGATGTCGTGCAATTACTGCGTGATGCTGTGGAACGTCGTGGGGTAAATATTATAAAATTTGGTTTTTTAAGATCAGAAATAGTTTATCAACTTTACTAAATCTCATGCATTCCTATCAGGATATAGATATCGATATTGTAGCCATTGTAAACGACACAACTGGAACACTCATGTCCTGTGCCCACAAGAACAGACAGTGCCGAATTGGTCTTATAATTGGTAAGCATATAAATAATAAGTCTAATCATTTGGTATATTTTTCTGTCCATTGACTATTATATTAATTTAAAAAATCTAAATTTTAAGGAACTGGCACAAATTCATGTTACATGGAAAATGTATATGTGAGAAGGGCATCAACACCCAGGAGAAAGATCTCTACTTCTTACATGGAACGAGTAGATAACAGTGTCGATCTTTGGGACAACGATGCTTACGAACCACGACAAGTAATAGTAAACACCGAATGGGGTGCTTTCGGAGACGATGGATGTCTTGATTTTCTTAGAACAAAATATGATCATGAAGTTGATGCTCATTCACTTAATCCAGGAAAACAGCTGTAAGTATTAGATAAATTAATTCTAATTGATGGCAACTGATTATGGGTAATTAATTTAAATCTGTTTAATTTACAAGATTTGAAAAAATGATATCTGGCATGTATATGGGAGAAGTAGCCAGAAGGGTATTAGTACACCTAACAAATGAAGGATTGCTTTTCAATGGCAAAGGATCTGACCTTCTCTACACGCAATATGCTTTTAAGACACAGTATATTTCAATGATTGAAAGGTAAGTTTTTATATAATATGCAATAAAATATGTTCTATACATGATACTAAATTAAAATTCATACATATTTTCCATTATAGCGATAGGAAGTATGTCTATGATGAAACACGTAACGTACTTAACCAGTTAGGATTGACTCATGCCACGAATGATGACTGTAACAATGTCAAACTTGTCTGTGCAAGAATATCTACCAGAGCAGCTTTCCTTGTTTCTGCAGGTTTGTATATCATTAATGAGAGAATTATAGTATATAACCTACAATAAAATGATATAAACAAACTTGACATACATACAAATTAGTCTATTATCTTTATATCAAAAGCACTATATGAACTGTGTGCAGCTATATAATGCATGTTTTACATTAATCATTCAATCACCTAACCAAAATGCAATAGATACTACTCAGATTATTTTATTTAGTTAATATTTCATATAATTTTGGAAATACTAAGTACGAATTTCATATTGAAGTGACATCCCCAGCATCTTAGAGATGTAGAGCAAGGAGCAATTAATTAAATATAGTGATGATTAACCCATGAGGCAGACTGCATAGTATCAAGTAGAGATAATAAGTTACATTCTTTGAGTTACAATTACATTATAATGTAATTATCAAAGACATTTTGTGATAAATACATGATAATGAATAACCTTCTAATTGGACAAAAATTCATTTTAATTACACAAATTTAAAACTTAAAAATTACATCATAAACTATATACTTAGCTTATTTTCATACAACCCTCCAAAGCCTTTTTTTATTATTACTTGAGACAATAAAAATTTATGAAAATACCTACTTAAATTTCTCTGTGGAATAATTATATATATATATATATATAATTTCTTCTGTAAATGTACAATTACATTTTTCTGAATAATTTGCTATTTAAAGACCTGTAAATAACTTTCTACTGAAAAGTAACTTCATTATTTTAACTCATAGAGAGAAAAATTACCTTATTTACCAACACATTTTTAAATACAGCATAAGAACTGTTTAAAGCCATAATTATCTCTTTAGAATTAAGAAACAGTGCAATGTGCATAGAAGTGTAAAATGTAAACAGTACATTCCTTCTAAATTATAGGAAAAGCCTATGTTGAAATATATAATTGCTATTTATCATTTTCTATAAATTTTTTTTATATTATAAATAAAATTATATTTTAAAAAAACTGGAATGAGCACTAAAATGTATCAAGAATTTAAATCAAAACTTAGGAAAGAAAACTTTACTTTAATAATGTTTTAAAAGATGAAACCAGAATTCAGGTTTCATGCATTTATTTGATTATTTATTGTTTAAATTTCTTGAAGTAAAGTTCTTATACAATCAAGTATTTCTCTAATTAAATACTTTTTATTTTAATTTGTTGTTAAATTTAATAAAAATGAGTTTATGAAGATAATTTCTACCTCTAAATTTCATCCAAATAGCTATAAATATCTGTAATAGCCCAATATAATCCGGTAGTTGTTGACATATTATATCGCAATTATTTTAAATTAATTACTAAATAATTTGTCACTAGAGATGTGTGTGTATATATATACAGATTGCATTAAAAATGCACAATGTTCATTGTTTAGATTTAGATAACAAACAGGTTACAAATAAATTAAAGTAAGAATCTATGTTAATCCTCATAATTCATAAATATAATTTTTTCCAACAGCTGTATCAACTATCCTAAACAAAATTAAGAGGCCATATACAACAATTGGAGTTGATGGTTCTGTATACAAGTTCCATCCTCACTTCCATGATTTGATGGAAAAGAAAATTGAAGAATTAGTAATGCCTGATTATAAGGTATAACTATTCACATTTAACTACTTTAAGTAAAATTTATTCTTTATCTATATTTTTAAAAATATTAAAAATCTACTCACTTCTAGTTTGACTTGATGCTGTCAGAAGATGGAAGTGGCAGAGGAGCGGCACTAGTCGCTGCAGTGGCTGTTAGAACAAAGGAATGACAAAGATTTTAGTAATTGAAAATTTTGTTGGACATCATTCCTGGTTGTAAATATGTCATATGGATTGAAAATTCATTCCGAGCATGCGCAAGTTATTCCTACCAGAGGATTAGTCAAAAGCCACGAGTGATTCAAACATCTGAGCAGCTGTGATCATATTTTTATAGTGCAATGTGTGTCAATTGTAAAATTGAACTGAAAGACCCGTCATTAGTCACGAATAGATATATTTTAATGTATATAATTAATGTTAAGCTTATTAGAATAAAATGCTTTATATGTTCTCTGTCTTTATCTTAAAAGATTTGATTTTATATTCTAGATTTTGTGATAAATTTTTCTATAATTATGTACAAACTGCATCTATTTAGATAATATTTAACTGCATTAACTTTTGTAAATTATATATAATCTTAGAGACAAAACAAACAATTTGTAACATATGTGGAAATTGTTACATGTGTTCCTCATGTCTATAATTAATATATATACATATATATCTTTTGTGCATTCTGTAAACATGTTCAATAAATAAAATTCTTTGCCAAATAAGAAATTATTTAGGTGTTAAAGTTTCAATTAACAAATAATACTCTTAAGAATCTAGGTCATTGCAAAGTCTCTTACAAATGTACAGGATGTCCCAAAAATCACTGTACATATGAAAATATTTTGTTTTTCAGATATCTTTCAAGAATGCCACTGTTTTGGCAGTGGCATTCTTCAAAGATATTTGTATGTACAACTTAATGCATGTGTATAAAGAAATTGACAACAAGTAGAGAATATTTTGTAAATAAAACACATTTTCCTTGTTTATGGTATCAGTGTATTTTGAGAAATGCTAGAGAAACATCAGAATCTGCATTGTTAATTTTTATCAAAAAAATTAACATCTGGAAGGTGTAACTATACGTGTTAGCTATTTACATACTTATCAAAACATTAAAAAGAAAATATTGATAAAATAAGGTGATGTTTTATCTTATAATAAATAGCAATTAGAAAATAGAATTGAAGAAATCAGCTGACTCTAGTCTAATAATTATAAAATTATTTGAAAAATATTAAAATTACTCTGAATAAGTTGTTTTATAGGTACCTTTTTCTCTATTTTCTTTTATGGCTAAAAGAAAAGAGAGAAAAAGATATCTATCGTTCATTATTATACACTGACCCCAAATCACTTTTAATAACACTCTTATTGTTCAAATTTTGACTTATGCTACAGTTCTAAAATACACTTTTTCTTATTTTGATTTCTTGAACATGAATAAGCACTTCATTTGTTGTGATTGACTCACTTTTTGAAAAACATGACTTCAATATTTCTAATACTATAATTCTAATACATGCTAACACAATATTAGCAATCACTTGTGTTAAGTCCTTTATCAGTCCTAGTAAAATGTTATCATCTTGAATTCAACACAAATCTGCCATCTATATCTCTCATAGTTCAGTACCAGAATTTCTTCAGATGCTTGCAAGTTCCATTCATATCAACTACATATAAAATAAGGGAATGACTGAAAGCATATTGCTTCTGTTATAAAGCAAAAATACCTTCAGTGAGTATTTAGATGAATCTTCAGCATCCATTCCAAGAGCAATGTGATTTGTTCATAGCCAACATGATTTTTCATCATCATCACAAATAGTAAATGCACATTCTGTCTTAAAATACTGAAGTATGGTTAATCTTATAAAAGATAGTTAAATCAGGAAGAATAAGATAATGTTAAGCTCCCTGTATAGTGTTATAACCCGTCTGGTTTTCACCCAGACAGTCCGAGAATCGAATCATTGCAGTGTCCGGGTGAACTACTAATTTTGTCTGGGAATATCGTGTGCAACCTGTCGACATTTTTTTTTATTGCATGTACAATTCGTATTCATACACGTCTCCAATGTCCAATAGAGCTAAGTCATCTGTAGTTGTTTTTTTTAAATTTAGTTACTTACGTTACTCCTACCCAAGTCTCCCTAGTCCCTAACTGTAACTGATTTAGAACCAACATGCACTGCATGTTATTCTTCGCAATGCAAAATGACATTGCATATGCATCAGGAACTTCTGTTCGAACAAATCTCACCTGCCATCCAGAAATTGAAAAGGTGGCAACATTATCCCTGTAGAATGAAAAGGACAGGAGTATAGAACAGGGCAGAGTAGAATTGTATAGGAGACTGTCAGGAGACTGAGAAGGATGCAGAAAGTTTTACATTGGAGTTTAGAGAAATGGGTAAAGGCTATAAAGAAAAGAGAAGCTATACAGAGAGTGTGAAGAACACAGTGCTTAGCAGTGAAGTGTAAAACAGGCATGTGAAATTTGATGAGACAAGAGTGATCTTATCAGTGGGTGACAATGAGAACATTTGGATGTCCAAAAAATTAAAGATTTATAAAGAAACTTGTTAATGTCAAAGATTTTGATACTTTATAAAATGAATGAAAGTAGATGGTAAAAAAAGCAATAAAGAACAGAGGAGCAAGTAGAAAAATGTGAAGATGATTTTAAAAATGAAGCTGATTCCAGAATTAAAAAGTTTGATTTAAATTTAAACTCTAGAAAATGTGTTCCAAAAGAATTTTAAAAATTTGAAGATGTGTTCCAAATAGGAAGATGTATTTGAATGGAAGTTTCAAAAGAATGATTTGGATAATAAAGACACTAAAGTATTCAGTATATCAAGATCAAAACATGATAACCTTCATACCATCTACCAGATAACTCCATTGTTGCAGCTGCAAAACTAACAATTCTGATTTGCTTTTAATTAGTTCTAGATTCTTAGCAATGTCATTCAACTCCATTCCAGTGATCTTTTGCATTTTGCCCTTCATATCAAGGACAGTGTCTGGAACTTTACAAGTCTAAGACTGCACATTACTAGTATTGTCTTCAAGTCCATCTTCATTATCCACACAAAAACAATCAAGAGTGGGAATTAGGCAACCCTTCAACTCCTCACTGTATGGGGCTGAATGGATAGCAGACAGTATGTTTGGTATAGCAAGAGCATCATCTTTGTATATCCCTATCTAACATGAGCAGCATACAATATTAGCAATCATTCGTGATTGGAACTATCCATCTACTGGAATTTTGAAATGCATGCCCAACCTTTTGTGATTTGCTCAAGCTTTGAGCACATTAGGTGTGCAGTACTTACTTGATCCCCACTTTTCATCTAAAATATTAGCAGTATGCTTTTTTTATTTCATTTGTTAAAGGAAAGCCTTCTTAACCTAGAGTTATTTTTCCATGATTGCAAAAAATTGTCTGAGTTGTTGTTATATTTACAATACATACTGGAACCACACAGCACAATAATTCACCTAAAAACCACAAAATTATACAATACTGTCATGCTACTACATAAATGATAGTGTACTAAACTGGGCAATCAGCTTGCCAAAAGAGAATAATGCAATTTCCTTTTTTTTACTATGATACTATGACCACATCTACTAGAAATCATAATTAAGTCTTAATATTAAAAAATACAATAACATAAAACATAAATATGGTGGCTTAATGCTACAACTTTTGGCAACACTAGACAATGTTCTGGCAGTGGCAGATTTCCTATTAAGTCCACCAAGCCCTGGCCCAAACTCTTGCATGACTGACCAATTCTATTTTATACATTGCTATATAAAATAAAATTGCTCAATGTGAAAGTGGTAATAATTAGTTTTGAGAGGTGCATGCATACTGTGAATCTAGTGACATCATATTTCTAAATCCATCACTTTTTCTGGCACTTTCATACAGCTATGATAGATTGGAATGCAATGTTGTCATATATAATTAAGCCAGAATTGATCAATTGAATATGATCCACTTCTGTTATGCTGAAACAATAGCTAATCAAACTTTTCAATGTCATTTTTTTATGTTTCGGCACCCAAATTAGTAAAGATTGGATGTTTAATCTCTGCAATGAAATGCATGTTACCTGAGGAATTTGGGCTGGAGTTAAAGGTATTGTCTTTGTTTTATCAAAAATTAAATTTTCAAAAACTTTAAAAAGAAAACCTGACATATTTTGAAAGTAATCAAGTTTTTGAAGATTTTTAAAAATTTCTTAGGATATAATTTTAAAGGCTTTCTTTTTAACCGTCTTTTACTTTTAGCACAATATAATGTAGGTAAACTAACATTTGTATTTTAATTTCATTTCTAGAAAAGCTTTTTTAACTTCAAAGTTTACTTTTTTTTATTAAAATTAAAATACAGATAAATCTAAATATATAAAATTGCTTGTCCTGACTGACTCACTCATTCATTCACTGATTCATCATCGCCCAGAGCAAACCGCTTAACCTAAAGAGGTGAAATTTGGTACACAGTTAGGGTACGTCATGGAAACGCACACTAAGAAAGGATTTTTCGAAATTCCAACGCGGGGGGGTGAGGGGGAGCATTAAGTCTTAACCGGAAAAACGGCTTCTACTGCGCTATTTTAGATGCGATTTTTTGTTTTTATCTGCGT